GTAGGTCTTTCATCAGATGGTATAGTAACTACATTCCAAATAACGTGCAATCAAACTCGGAGGAGAGGAGGATAAATTTAAAAATCAATTCTGTACCCACAGCGTTGGTGGCCATGTACCTCCACGAGAATTTTACGCCATGTTCTCTGCCTCCAAACACGCGGTCACAGCGCTGACAGAGGGACTCCGACGAGAACTGGTCAACCTCAAGTCCAAAATCCGTGTCACCGTGAGTATAAACCTGAAATGATTTTTATCTTAAATATAACTGTCCCAAATTTTGGAAACATGAAATATATTTCTCGTTTCTAATGACGCCATAGGGTTTCCTGAACTCACGTAACCTGCCGGATTATAAATAGAACGCTGTACCACTCGTCGAGACTGGCATTCGATAACTAACCGAATTGAAGTTATCCTCACATTGTCAGCTGAGGATGGAAACAGATAAGAGTTATGTTTATGCTGTAATGTTCTGCTTAGAAAGGAAGGAGATACAGGAAACCCAGAAGCTCTGTGTTCCAAAGTGCAAGGACCTACGGAACTGACATTACTACGTTTTATCCACATGAACTTTATCTAAACATTTCAAGTTCGCTGTATCTGCATTACACATACCAATCGGTTAGTTGTCTCTAGTGATATAAAGATCTTTATTTTGAAAAGCGCAAAAAACCTCTGGATAAAATGCAACAGTCCTTGCGACTTGAAGCACATGGAACATAGACGCTTAGTAACCATTGTACAATAATTGTTCATTTTCTACATAAACATAGTAAATCTTAATGTTACAGAGCCTCAGTCCTGGACTGGTGAGGACAGAAATGCCTCCCGAAAAGTTTTTGGACACCTGCCCTTCCCTGAACCCTGAGGATATTGCTGATGGCGTTTTGTACGTTCTGGGTGTTCCACCTCATGTTCAGGTTTGTTCAGCTTTCAGTAAATTAATCTTTATTTTGAATGCAAAGGCGGTGTGTTGAAGTTCAATATACACAACCAAAAGCAGGCAAAGTTCGGATTAGTCAGAACTTATTCAGTAATTCGTCAAGCTTCAGCTATAAGAACATCATCAGAAGTTGCCGTTTATTTTGTGAGTCACTCTACGAGGCTGTCTGTAGCTAGACTGTATAGCGGCGAATGGTAGGACAGCAAATGACTGATGAACTGGAAGGAACTTAAAGAAAGGGTGCCAGCATTTTCCTGCAGGGACTCCATGCAAAGATTAATCGGGATAGGCGAACTTCCGGCAGAGGTTGCAACTAATCGCCACCAATACGTGCAGTCATCTTGTTATAAATCTCTGATGAAGGGAGAACCCTCTGCTTCTGCTGGTAATCGAATCCCGGTAATGGAGCCTGTGTCAAGAAACTTGTCTTGTGGGACGCTGCCACTGTTTCAGGGGCATAAAATGCCTCAATCTTCTATCTTCTACCGTGATGACGGAAGCAGCAAGTTTCCCCAAACTATCGTTACGTATCTAACGAAGATCTCTTTGGCGTCATGTTAAAGGTCTCTGCGCTGACCATCTCAAGTCACACTTCACTGACAGAGATCTAGGGTCACACAAAAAATATTGATCCTACTACTGCCATCCGTTGCAGGAAGTTGCCTACTGAGACCTGTTGTGATACTACAAAACAGAACCATTGCACCGTTTGAGAAGTCTTCTCAGTTACTGTTCCTTCAGGCCGATGACGTAACACTTTTCCGAATTCTGTCTGAGCCCATACTGTCAGCATGGCCATTCCAAAATATTATTTCTTCGTCTATAAACTTAGTATTTTTGTTGATCTGCAGTTGTCTGAACATTTCATGCTTCATGTTAGGGTCCGGATGGGTGTATCCTGCGGTCCTCCATAGGTACTATGAAACTGATCATGTTGGTACAGGGCGGCGGATCTGAAGCTTTCTGGCATGATGCTCCCTTTTTTGCCTCCACAAAACATGACTTCAGCTTTTTACTGAAATAAATGTAGCTATTGATACAAGTATACAAATGGAATCTTAGCTAGTAATAAAAAAAAATATTGAAGAAAACATTCAAGTTATGAAAATGAAAATGCTGCACGGTGTTCTCCATTTCGTGATGGACAGCACCAAAATGTATTGAAATCTAATAGCCCTAATTCCTTAGTACCTGAAATAATAATTCCGACATGTGCTTAAGGAAGAGTTGAGCTACAAATGAATATTTCAGCTGAGTCCGACATTGAAAATTCATTTCCTGACATTTTTTCACGCCCCACACTCCGCCTGCCCTCCCACAACCCTCTTCACCCACCAGAGAGGCACAACCCTACATGTGAATCACCGGTCTGGAAGACACTGCGGATATATAAAGTCATAACAAAAGTTCTCATCAATAAAACTAGTGCGGTAATT